CGTGGCCGAGCAGCAGCGCCTGGACGACATCCTGCGGAACCTGTCCCAGCAGCCCGAGGAGCTGCGCGACGTCTACAGCAAGCACCTGGTGGCCCAGCTGGCCCAGGACATCTTCCGCAGCCACGGGGAGCACCGGGACGCCCTCCTCAAGCCGTCTGAGCAGAGGATTTCCCCCGTGGCCATCCCGCCTCGCAAGGCCGTGTCCAGCTTCAGCAGCTTGCTCCGCGCCGCCGCCTCCTCCTCCGGGGAGACCGCAGGTGGCTCCCGCCGGCCGCACCGCAAGCCCACCATCCTGCGGAAGATCTCGGCCGCCCAGCAGCTCTCCGCCTCCGAAGTGGTCACCCACCTTGGGCAGACGGTGGCCCTGGCCAGCGGGACCCTGAGTGTGCTGCTGCACTGCGAGGCCGTGGGCAACCCTCGGCCCACCATCAGCTGGGCCAGGAACGGCGAGGAGGTTCAGTTCAGTGACAGGTGAGCCTTGCCGTTTCCTGGTCTAGGGAGGGAGGGGGGCAAAAGGCCACATCTTTCCAAGGCCCCCGGTTCGCTCTTCTTTCAAGGTGCTTCCAAGGGTGGGACTCAGAGCCCTGGCTCAGGGGTCGCACCCAGGGTTCCGGGCCCTCTGTCAGCACTGATGGCCTGTTGGAGCAAAGACACGGCATTTAATTTCTCTAAACTGTACACTCTCATCTTTATAAGGTAATAGCAGCAATGCCTCTCCACCGGGATCCCCAGAGGATCCCAACGGTTAATGAGATACTCACTGGAGAGCTTTGAACTTTGGACAGAAAGTGGTGGTTTCAGGACAAGGCATTATTTATGGCATTAGGTCTTTGTGAGATGAACTGTTAACCCCCCAGACATTGACTCCACGTGTGTAGCTCCCAGGGCTGGGGAGAGAGTGCAAACGCACCTGCTGCTCCTCGAGGCCGAGCCTGGCCTCTGTTGGGGCTGGACATGGCTGTTTGTTCCAGAGAGCTTTTATCCCTGGTGAAAACTGTGAATAATTATCCTAATATCTCTTGGTGGCTCTGTTTGAATGTGTCACTACTGGAATGACAGCATGTATTACTGGTTTGGGCCATAGCCATTAGTAATGTAAAATCAAGAGGGGTATTAGAAGCAACAATGCCCAGCTGTGTGCCTCTGATTGAGCGTCGACCTGTGAACCAAGAGGTCACGGTTTGATTCCCAGTCAGAGCATGTGCCTTAGTTTCTGGCTCAATCCCCAGAGGGGGGCATGCAGGAGGCAGCCAATCAATGATTGATGTTTCTGTCTCTCTCTCTCCCTCTCCTTTCCTCTCTGAAATCAATAAAAAAATATATTTTTTAAAAGGGGGGAAAGCTAAAAAATATATATATATTTTGTACACCACCTATGTGCCAAGTACTGTCACGTGACTTCTATATGCATTGTCTCTTTTAATCTTTATAGTGGCCCTGACAATAGCAATGATAGCCGCATTAATGAGTAGTGGCTATCTGCCAGGCAAGTATAAATACTTTATGGGCTTTATCTCACTAAATTTCAACAGTAGCCCTGAGAAGTGGGCACAGTTTTTTATCTACATTTTACAGAAGAGGACACAAGATCATATTTATTAGGTGATAGAGCTAAGACATGTGGCAAAAATAACATTGTCACTTGAAGAATCATAGACGATGTATGGGAGAGGAACCTTTAAGGTCCTCTAGTCCAGAATCCTCATTTTAACTTTTTATCATCTCTGAATCCATGGGGAATGCTCTTTTCATCAAATATACTTCTAAACACTCTTGTTTGGCTACCCCTCCTCTCTGGTTTGCTAGCTTTGGGAAAGGAAGGAAAGAAACCAGGATGTATTTATTGTGCCAGGCGGTGTGCCAGGTTTATTTCTATGTAACTGCATTTGTTATTCTAATGGTCCACAAGATTGACATTATCCTCTAGTTCTGCATAGAATATCAAGGTTCAGCAACTCACCCAACATCACGTTAGTAAGAGCCAGACCGAGGATTTGATACCAAGTTCCTGTGATTCTAAAGAGTAGTTCTGTCCACTCTTCTGTGATTTGGTGAACAAAAGTAACATTGTCCACCCTGCCCACATCTTTTTGTGCCTTTAAATGATCAATAACATTGCCTCTCAGCCTTAGTACTTACATACAAAATAGCTTCAATAACAGTTCTGTTTCCCTGTGTGCTCTTACTATATACCAGACTACTGTGCTCAGTGTTTCAAAGGCATTATTTTGTTTAATTTAAAAAAATAAAAAAACACTGGGGAAGGGTTTGAATGTGGGCAGCGTGGCTTGAGATCCTCTGCTCCTAACCTCTCCACTTATTTGCAGTGTGGTCTTCCCCAGCTCATACTTCCCTTGATCAGCTTAACTGCTATGATCCAGGTGATGTTTACAACAAATCTGTGGGTCACACCAAAGCTGTAGTGAATCCCTTGAGGTCACTGGGACACTGAGAGGCAGCTCCAGTGTCAGGCCCCCAGGCTGATGGTGCCCTGGTGCTCAGGTGGGTGGTGCAGTGGAACTCACCTCTGTCAGTGCACCTGCCACACCCACTGTGCCCAAATCATGTCGTCTCCTCCACCAGACAGCCATTTCCTCGAGTGTAGGTACATTTTATGCAGATCCCCTGGGCCTGTCGCCCAGGATTGGTAGCGTAAGGATTGAATGGAGCAGCGGCTGGCTGTGAGGGAAAAGGTGGGAAGTCACATTTCTTGACTACATACGCTGTGCCCCATATGCGAGCAACCTTCCTAGCCCTCATCTTAGTTAATATCTACCACAAGGTGTGACGTACAAGCTATTGTCCCCATTTCAGCGACGAGGAAACTGAGGCGCCCAGTTAAGGAACTTAATGTTAGATAGCGCGTGAAAGGCAGAATCAAGAGATCAGATTCAAAGCCAGTTCTGCCCAGCTCAACCCCATGCTGTTTGAGGGAATGAGGACATTTATGCTTCTATGTATCTTCACCGGAATCCCAAGTTGCTGCAAGACCCTTGCTGATTTCTACCAGCTGTTTCCAAGGTCCCTTCCTTTGTTTTTGTTTTTTAAATATATTTTATTGATTTCAGAGAGGAAGGGAGAGGGAGAGGAAGATAGAAATATCAATGATGAGAGAGAACCATTGATTGGCTGTCTTCTGCACACCCCCCACTGGGGATTGAGCCCACAACCCAGGCATGTGCCCTTGACCATAATCAAACCTTTAATCCACAGGCCGACGCTCTATCCACTGAGCCAAACCAGCCAGGACTAGGGTCCCTTCCTTTCAACGGCACTTACCTCCTCCTAAAAAGCTGTAGAACAAGATAGGCCATTGGGAAGAAGGAGGGGTCCTTAGGACTCCCCTGCACTGTGCCTGGAACTGCAGGGAGCACGTTGAGGCCAGGGCTTACTCAGAGGTCCTGACAATTTTCTTGAGTGCTGGAGGTTTTTTTAATGATTTTTTTAAAATTTAGTGAGTTTTTTAATGAAATTCAAAGTTCATGGCCCATCTAATTCACCTGGTGATTACAGGAAAGATGTGTAAGGACCCAGGTGAGGATTAGGGGATTCAGGCCAAGGCCCTTCTCTTCATTACCTTAGTCAGTGCATCGGCAAACTGTGGCTCACGAGCCACATGCGGCTCTTTGGCCCCTTGAGTGTGGCCACGAAGTTTCAATCGCACTGTACGTGCGCGCCTGCACGTGGTATTTTGTGGAAGAGCCACACTCAAGGGGCCGCAGTTTGCCAACCACTGCCTTAGCCCCTTCATTGCAAAAGTGAGGGGAGTGTCTATGACCACCTCTGAAGTCCCTTCTATCTCCTTCACTCATTTACGGAAGGTCACAGAAGGTGAAAACCCATATGCTGGCAGGGAGTGGGGAGAGCCTTGGGTGCAGTAACTTCAAAATTTGTTGCACAAGTTGTTTCTGCGCGCTCCACAAAACGGGTTCCTTGATCACATGAGTTGGGACGTGCTCACTTAAAGCTAAACAGATGTATTTACTGCTCGATTTTTACTTCTCTTTTTTAATATAGTGCTTGTTTTTTATTATAAAAGTAATAAAGGGGCTATAAAACAATTCAAATAATACCTAAATCTATAAGTCTCCCTCTGCCCCCCAGCCTTATTCCCGGGGGGCTGTCATTCTTAATAATTTGGTATACATCCTTTTGGAATTTATATATATTTTATTGTATTGCATATAAAACATACACAGAACTTGGAGGTTTTTAATGGACTATTATTCATGTTTAGAATTTTGATTTAATTTTTATTCAGCAGCATGTCTAGGAGACATTTCAGAATAGTGTGTAGAAATTTATATCATCTTTTTTAAACAGCTGATTACTGTTCTTGAATGCATTTAACTATCCCCCAATTGAAAATTATTTTGGTTTCGCCTCCTTTTTAAATCCTTTAAGCACTCCAGCGTGTGTTGTGACTTTCCAAGTAGACAATATAGTATATGAGTGTTTTCCAAGTACTCCTTTGATCAATGAACGATTTTTTGGCCCAGTAATCTCAGGAATACCAATAATTCTTGAAATACGACTTAGAAACACTACTTTCGTCTTTTAATTTTTACTTTAATGGGCATTGAGAGTTTATCCCTAATGGCTTTCAGATTTTAAAAGTTTCATCAGTATTTTGCTAGGAAAAGACACATGGCAGCCAGGTGCTAACGATACTAAAGGTGTGAGGGCTGGGACAGAAGAGGGCAGATTCTGTGTCTTCAGTCACCAGAACCTTGGTGCGAGTGGGAAGTAGCATTAAGAGGGAAAGCACATGAGGGACCTGGGCAAACAGTCTTACAGTTTTTGCCACTGGCAAGATTTTTTTCTAGATTTAGGCTTGACAGAGTTTGTTAATGCAGGTGAATGGCATGAGGTAGGGAAAAATGAGAGATTTCGGTTTCTGATCTTTGACCTCATAAGTTTTCCAATGTACTTAAATGGCAAGTAAGAAATACGGCTGGAGTTTAGTTTCTGTACAGTTTCCCAAGTTCTTCTGAGAAAAGAAAGTGAATGTATCTGCCCAGAGCAGGCAGGAGGCATGGAGCTGCCACTGGGACTGCTTTGCTATGGGCTGTTGGTGACCTCTTTTGTGTTGGGTTTCATTGCTTGTCATCATTACTGCGCTCGGTAGCGGTTCAGAAATGCTCATTTGTTTTCAAATGGAGACGTGCTGAAATGCCCAGTTTGTAGTTCAGTGAGTCTGTTTTTGCTTAGTGCCCAAATCCATCTTCCTGAAAGAGTCTGCAAGATTCAGCTGGCTGTTGGTCTGTAGGACTCTGCAGTGTATTCAAGGACACTCTAAACAGCCTGAGCCAGCAAGACAGGTAAAGGTAGCATTTAGGATTTAGTCTGAGTACCTCAGGGGCATTTTAAAGGCTATTAGACAAGGAAATAAAATGACCTAATTGGCCCTGGCTGGTGTGGCTCAGTTGCTTGGGCATCCTCCCATGATTCCTGGCCAGGGTACATGCCTG